AGCCAGTTGATGGATCAAAGAGACCACATATAGTTGCAGTGAAAGCTGAGCCCATACAGTAGTTATATATTGGAGCGAAAAAGGACTAAGCCCTGAGAAGTAGGCCCAACTATCATCTATAATTGGAGGTGTTGATAGCAGTGACCCAGCTGATGTTTCCCTCCAGGATGCTGTCACAGCTAAACAGAACCAGACCAGAGGAAGTTACTATTAGGAGAAAGCAGACAACATAAAGTGTGGGGTTGAACTAACAAATAATATACAATTTGATAATGAAGCAGAGAGGAAAACTGGTCCTGATGTCCTCCAGCAGCCTAAGCCTATAGCAGCATAAATATAGAGATAGCTCAGGATAACCTGAGCAGGTCTAACTATAACTTTAAAGGAGTGTTTTAAGCCTAGTCCTAAAAGTGGAGTGAATACTTTTTCACTTTTACTTGAATAAAGAGGTCAAGTTTATTTTTGTTTTTAAACTGCAGTATCTATACTTCTTCTTAAGTAACCAATGTGTTTACTTTTGACACCACTGATCATATCTCTGATATAAGATGGAGGTTGGTTATTTAGGGCTTTATACGTGAAAAGGATCAGTTTCTTCCCACATCACAATGATTAACAAAACTATCTAGCTAACCCTCTACTTGGTATCTCACCACCTCCAGGGGGATCCCAACCCCTACTTTAGGAACTCCTGATTTAGATGATGGTTATATCAATATCAATTCCTAACATTAATTTAATATAAATTCAACACAAATGTACATGGAGAGACACATTTAGATAATGGTTGAATAAACGTTGATATACAGCAGTATCAGTTATGGTCGAAAACATATGGTTGATTCAATACATGAGGAAATAAACCACCTTTAAAATAGTTTAAATGTGAGGCTTTAAAGTGGTTTTAATATTTCTGCCTGACCATATTTCAATGTTGGCTCACTCATATTTTGCTATCTGGGTACTCATCAAGAAGTTTCATATTTAAAATGAAACTGTTGGTTAACAGTATTGGTGAAATCACTTAACAGTGCTAAAAAAAACCCCACAATGTTTAAAAAATTAAAAATACTTTTCGCTTGTATTGTTTCATATGACTGCTTCTAAATTTCAGGTTTAAAAATCTTGTTTAAAATTTGAAAATGATTTTGGCTATTTTAGTCAAAATAACATTGCAGAAGTATTTTATACAGTGCGGTTTAAGTTTTGTTGCATTGATGAAATTATAGATACAGGATAAAGTAATCTTTCCAGGATGGATGTTTCTTTTGGGAAGAGTTGATTGAGTCATGAGGAACCAAGCAGGAACTGACATCCATCAGGTCAGTGCTCTCTAACCACAAAATCCCCCAGCGTTCCTTGGTGGTATTTTTATTTTGAGAATTTGAGTGGGAAAATGGAAAAAAAAATCACATACCTGCATCAGAGCGCTACCTGTTTGGTCTGTGGACGTTTTTTTTCATGCTTGAAACAAAACTAGCAGCAGTAGTGGAGTTTGGAGATGCAATCCATTTCTTAAATCTATCTTTTCTCTCCTCTAATTTATCCAGAAGTTCTGCAATCGCATTCTTACTCTCGCGCACAACTTTGTGATCGGCTGCATAGTTAGCCTTTTCTAGAAATGTCTTTACAAATTACTATTTTTATTATTTGACAAGTTCTCGTGCCAAAGCAAAAATGCAGGCAATCCTTCCACATTGATAATGAAAGCAAATGATTTTTTTCATTCTTTGGATCCCCTGTTCTCATCAGGTATATTCCTTTTTTTCCCTTTGGGATCCATGGCCCAAGACACACCCGCCGCTTTCTTTGCCTGGCACCGCACCACGCTGAGACATGTGTTGCAGACCTTGACCACTGATCTCTATCGCTATGATGCACATTTTCGTTGAAATAAATGTTTACATATACTGTTTAAATTTATTTATTACACAAATGTTGACTGCATTGGAAAGCAATGAATGTCTGTTCAACCTCCTGCACACCATATTAAAATAAATAAACCAAAAAAATCTATTTTTCATACATTTTTTAAAAGGCTCCAGGGAGCCGCATGGTGGGTGCCAAGGAGCCGCGGGTTGCTGTCCCTGCCTTAGAATATATAGAATATATGTGAGCATTATAAATCCAGACATTCAATTGCTATAAACAGATATAGGATTGTTTAACAACATGTGTTTCATTGAGTAGGTGAAGTTATTTCAGGCCTCTTCAAAGGTCAAGAATCACAAAGTTCTTTAGGATAAAAATATCTACATAAAATAAGAAACCAAAAAGCTGAAAGGGAACGATAAAAGTCTGAAAGACCAGAGAAAAATCACCCTGTCTAAATTTAGTTAAAAGGACGTCTGAAAACATAAGTCTTCAGTTGCTTCATAGACAAAAAATCAAAACATCATAAAAATGGAGCCAGTGAATCACAGTAATTACAGTCAGTATGAACCCAAAATCATAAAAAACACAACATTCAAATCTTCTGAGTGTAATTCATGTCTTTAGACTTTGCTCTCAACCCATTGCATTTAGCTATAGTAAAACACTACGTCCTTTCAAATTTACAGCATGTTGGCACCCTTCCTCCACTTATCCATAGGAACTGGTGCCTGTTTCCAGCAGTCTAGAGGTGAAAGTTCTGATACACCCTGGACAGGTTACCGGTCTACTGCAGGGCAACCCAGTAGCAGCCATTCAAAATGGCCCTTCCCAGTGAAAGGCCAGCCAATTGGCAGCCCACTTCCCCTCCAACATCCAGCCACTGGAGCTAACCCCTCTTGCATATTTTTTTACTCTGACACCTCCCTTTCACTGAAATACAGGGTCTGCCCAGAATAGTATGCTTCTCTTTAGATCTTAATGTCTACAAATCATTACAGAAAGAATATTTTTGTACAAATATTAATGTTTAAAGAAGGAATTGTAAGGGACCAGCCAACGACCTATCAAGGAAAGTGGGGAAATTTTGAATGGCTGCTACTGTAAGGGCAATTTAAAGACAGCAATTATCTAACTATCATTTTTTTTGGACTGAAGAAGGAAGCCAGAGAACCCTCCCTTGCATGGGGAGAACATGCAAACACCATGTACTGTAGAAAGACCCTGAGTTGGGAATTGTACCTAGGAAGCCATCTTTGTTGAAAGAGAAAAGCCACCACTGAACAGAGAGTGAGGATTACAATTTCAGCTTCCAAATCTACAATTTAATCCTGTAACTGATTCCAAAGAAATTAAACAAGCACACTCAACATGATTCAATAGGCCAAACACAAAAACCATACTAAACAACAGACTCCAACAACCCAGGGGAACAATGGCTGGCTCTTTGATTAGTATCTGACTTGGAGTTTGCCTAGCAGGATTAAGTTGTTTAGTGTAGGCCATGACCCAGGTGACAGAGCATTCACAAAGGCAAACTAAAAAGATGTTTCTTATTACAGTTTTCTCAACTATGTACACACAAACACAGGTCCTTGACACACAATGACCACAGCATGACGACAAATCCATAAACCAGTTCTGATGTACCACTAACCCAATGGTCTCCTCTCTATATGTTGTTCTAATGGTGCGTTTACACTGAATGCGATTACTTCAACAGAACTGTCACTTTCAGGTTCTGTCCCTTGCCTATTGCTAGCAATTCACATGGCTACTGACAAGCTCCACCTCGCCATTGAATCTGCTGCTTGCCAGATCTACCTTAATGTGGGGGACCTGGATTTTACCAGCGAGTCCTGAGGTTTTATTTAGATCCTCCAGAGAGAATTGTTTTGGAAAGTACCACCACCTCCTCCAGGTATTGCATCTGGATAATAGCCTGTTGACCTACGCCAGGAGTCTTCAACATTTTCCAGGCCAAGGACCCCCAAATTGATGGCAAGATGGAGCGGGGACCCCCTAATTATATATATTGTATGAAATTGTTGATGAAGGTTCTCAGTCATCCAGGTCATAGTCATTCCGTAAAAATTTAAAAATTATCCACTGTACTTGGTTTCCAAGATTTGAAGACGTTTCGCCATCTCTCCAGGAAGCTTTCTCAATTCAAATGTCGGCATTTGAATTGAGAAAGCTTCCTGGAGAGGTGGCGGAACGTATTAGGTATTAGGTGGCTTTTTTTAAAGCCACCTAATCCTTTGTTCATTCATTTATTTTCCTTTTCTTTGATTTTGATTGAAAAAAGCTTCTTGTCTGCTCTGCCCCTTCACTCTTTGTCACAGCAACATTTAGACCCTTATTTGTTGTCGTGATGACACAAAGGTTTCATTTTTTTAAATTTATGCAATTGTTATCTGGCATCTATTGCAAATGTTGCTTCTTCTGTCACTGTAATTGCTTTAATCGTGTCGCTTTAATCGCAGATAGCCCAAATTATGATGAAGATTTACAAAAAGAAAACAAAATATATAGAAATATATAGAAATTATATATCTAGAATTTTTCCATTAAATTGTATATTGTAAATGGTTTGATTAATCAATTAAATAAATCCTTTGCTGTTACCACATGTACAGAAAGTTTCAGTGTAACACAGTGTTAAATTTTTTATTTTTTGGGGGGGAAGAATGAAACATACTGTACCAACAGATCCTAAGATATGTTTATATTCTTTACTCTGAGTTTGCAAGTTTACATAAAAACACAAGAATTGTAAAAAATGTTGCAATAGCCTTATGTAGTATGTCTGTAGCAGGTGTAAACCTGAAGAGAAAAAAGGTCAAAGTCATGATTCATAGTGTTTTATGCTGAGCTCAACGGTGTTTATATGATTCTCATAAACGTTTACTCATTTAATGGTTTGTGATGCATTTGGAAAACAAATAGTGCTCTAAGATGTATTCATATGGTTTTGAAAGTATGGTTTGATTTTGCAGAAGAATTGAGGGCTTTGGAAATATTTGTGCATATTTTGTGTTAAAAAGTAAGACGCATTTACTAAACACAAGGGCATATTTTAGTAAATATTCAAGAACTGTAATACTTAATTTTGGTTTTAAATTTAGATCAGAGTTTCTAAGGACTTCAAGCGCCCTGCAAGACATGACCACAAAGCCCCATACCCAGCGGGTCAGCTAGACTCAGAAGGAAAAGGTAAGGTAACCCAGATAAGGCATGGATGTGGTGCATGGGTTAAATGCAGGACCCATGTGCAGAAGCTTTAGGCCTCTTCCCTCTCACTCTAAATCCATTTCCTAGCTTAAAAAGTCATGTTTAAAAAAGAAATACCTCAGATTCTCAAGAGGAAGCGATCCCTCCCCCAATCATAGATCAGCGTTAAGTCGTAACTGCCTCAAATTGGCCTGACACATCTGTAGGTAGGAACCCATTACGTCGTGAATTGGCCATCTCCCCCAAAAGAAGACACTAAATCCCCAGAAAAAATAAAATATTTAACACATATTTTTTACAGGGTATTTCAGCGTTTAAAGCCTTCACATCTATTTACCATAAAAGCCATATTCAAGCTTTATTAGGCCTTTCATGACATGTATACTGCCTAAAATGCTATCTTGTCATCAACTGACATAGAGGTCCTGGAGGATGAAGTGGATGTAAAAATTTGAAAGTAAATTATCCTGGATCTAAGTTAATCAGATATAATTGGCCAGATAAAAAAGAACAGATGTTTACAAACAAAACTTCTTACTTTTCCTGTAGGGAAGGGAATAAACATAAAAAAAATATTACTACATCTTGGTAACATATGTAGCAAGTTTGGTGTCCATTTAACAAGCAAGTGAGAAGTGTTTGGATTGAAAAAAGTCCAAGTGGACCTTTACTGTTTCATTTTGGAACAGTTTGGCATAATATTGATTTTATTTCTGGAATGTAAAATTTGGAACGATGTTATATATTTGGTTATAAAAATACAGTTTTCTTTTTAAAATCCCACACGTTTTAATTACACTTCCACAGTAAATATAGAAAGCTAATTAGAGAATGGATCCTTAAGACGCACAGATGTATATAAATAACCGTTTAACCAATCTCTTTGTTAAGGCTGCATTCCATAGAATCCAATAATATTCACCAATTTGAGATAGACAGAAGCCCCAGCAAATTGCATAAAAGAGTAGCAGAGTTTTACCTGATTTATGCACAGGTACATTTTCCAAACATGGACATGTTGTAGTAACGTAACACAGAGGGAAGAAGAAGCTTTTAGTTGAACAATATAGATTGGATAAATTCCGGAAACTAACATTTATTTGGATGAAAATGTGATTCGATGAAAGAAACAGCAAAGGTAGGAGGAGTTTGTTGAGTGGTCCACTGCAAATGATCGTTTATTTGCTGAAGAGTTTGACTTTGGAGGATTCAGTCTCTTTTTGCCTTAAGTAGAAATGCACAATTCAGCACTGCTATATATGAACTTGAAACCATCCCCCCAAAAAACTTGGTTGTAAACTGCATTTTGGCTATCTGAGTACTCTTGTGGCACAGTGTTGGCAATAGAGTTAATTCTTTCCTGCAATCATCGCAACCCCCACCCCCTTACAGGGGGAATTTGCATGTTTTCTAAGCCAAAACAATGCTTTGTTGGGCTACTGTATAAAGCCTCGAACTCAACACTAATTCTGACATTTTGAATTGAAAAAGCTTCCTCAATTTAAAGTTTGATCTAATTTTCCCATCTGTCCTTTTCACTTCTCTTTTCACCACACTACACGAGGATGTCGAAAATACAGCTGTTTACAACTTTATCAAAGCCTCTTTATGCTGTTCACTTTTCTGGAGTTTTTCAACAATGTTTTTAATAGTGGTGATACCTATGAGCTAAATCATGGGATGTCTTTAAATGTTTACATTTCCAAATCCTCACCAGCCGGAGCCGCTGCTCGTTCTCCATGTTTTCTACATGGATCCATCCGCGTAGAACAGGGCAGATGAAGCTACTCTGATGAGGAAAGGCAGAGTTTGGGGGTTAAACTAACAAATACTTCAGATATGGAAAATAGAATTAGATAAGCAGAATGATGAAAAGTGGTCTTGTTGTCCTCCAGCAGCCTAACCCTATAGCAGCATAAATGTAGAGAGAGCTCAAGACAGACTAAGATACTTTTATTTTATCAGAAAGGAAAGCTTTAAACTAGCCTTAAATTTTGGCAGTTTCTGCCACAAAGACACTGGGGAAATGCTTACTTGCTTGGCCCCATTACTTTCTTTTTAAGGCCATAGTGGCCTTTACTGTTCTGTCACTCCTGAAAGTAGGCAGACAGGAAATGGGACTAGAGAAATGGGAAAAAGATGAAAAAAAGGTCAACAGGATGGACCTGCATTGGTTGCATCGAGCACCAAAGTCTCTGCACATGTGCTTTGCACCCAACCCCTGCTCCACCGCTGCACCCTTAGCTCCATTACTTATGCATGCACAACATTTTACCTCTGATCACATGGTGTTATGGTAAATACAGAATGGGTTCAAGTCTACTAACAAATAGACCCAACCACAGTGAGCTACTGGTGCTGAAATTCATAAATGTGACTGGGGCCCTTTAAAGCAATGAAATCTAATTCAGTGATTGATAAAGTGACTCCATAAGATAATTTAAACAATCTGGACTTTCTCTGATTAGTGCTCCTATCAGGACTGCTTTACTGATGCGTGTTTCTCTTTGTTTGGAGCTTTTCTCTGTCCTTATTTAAGTATTTCTCTCTCTACACAGTTTTGTAGGGATTTTATATTGACATCTTACCCAAGACTTTACAGAGCAACTACCCATTTTACTAAACAAGTAGGTTTCAGGACTTCAAGTAATATTTACCTCCACCTACTGTGGAGGTAAATGAAGCTGAGCAGAGGTCTAATCAAAATAATCACAAACATGTGTGGGTGGGCACAGCCAATTTAGATGTGATGTACAGCGGCTCAGTAAAATAAAATATACAATTATGTGTTGAGGTTAAACTGGTACACAACACTTGACCTGCTTTTATATACTTTCAAATTTAGTTTGTTCTCTCGGGAGTAATTGGCTAATTTGTCTGTATGTAGATACCTCTGTCTATGTATCTGAATAGATGTATGCATAAACATACACGTTGCCCAGTTTTTCTTTTTCTATAAGGCAGCAGTTTTTCAAAGGTGTACCTAAAAGTAAATATACATCGGTGCTCTCAGAAGCCTTTAAGGCTCTCGTTTTTCTCTCAGACAGAAATTATGGAGTAAAATTCACTCCATTGTTGTGGCAAGCAAATCTTTTTTTTTTTTTTTACTTTTTTTT